CCGTAGCCGTGCAACCTTTCACAGGCGAGCGACTTTGGATCGATGCGATGCGGGCTCGATCTGTTTTGGTAGTCCACAGCACGACCCGTGCTGTTTGGGGCGGAGCATGTGGACCCGGGGGTGTTCGGTGGGAGGGGGGCTTACATTTGTCCACGAAATCATTCAAAAGTCAGACACTTGCCTCAGATCGCACACATTCCCTACCATCTCAAGCTAGACTGAATCAGCCAGATCCTCAACAATACCCTCAAGCAACGCCCCAATGGCTTCGTCACCCGTGCGCCAGCCCACTCGCCGTGTTGCCCGCAAGCTGCTTTACAACGTAAGTAGGGCATCGGTAATCTGATTGCCCGCGTCGCGCCTATAGATCATCACATCAAACCAATTTACCAGTGTACATGACTGATGATGGCAGCCATGACCGCAATCAGGCGATGTACACGACCACTTGCTTTTGCCCAACGGTTTCGGTTCTGCGACCCCTTCCCGATAGATCCCCAACTCCGCCATCCCTGTGTGGGCCGACCTGCCCACGAGGATCGTGGAGCATTGCCAGATCACTTCCATCAACTCCATGTTTAAGGAAGAGGCGGCTAACCGCGCCACTCTGGGAAGCAGCTTTGAGCGCGACTGGTGTCTGGCCTTCTGCTTCCCATCCGAGGAGCCCGTTGCCAAACCCTTTGAGGCCCGGTTGGTCGACATGTCCGCGGAGATCAACGAATATATGGCAGTGTCCAATGCCTACAACATGTCGGTGAGCAAGGGGGCACGTGGCCCAGGGTGGAGAGAGCGGGCCTGCCCTTCGGTGGCAGTTGCCCCCGTCGCGACAGATCCCGCATCAATAACCCGCGCCATGAAAACTGCGACGATCCGCGGCATTGACAGCCTGTTCTGAGCGCCTCGCTCTTGTTCCCGTGTGCAGGCCCAAGTCGAGGAGGCAGACGCTGGACCGGAGTTCGACATGAACCTGCTGCCCGCGGAGTGGCGCAACCCTTGCCACGAGGAGCTGGCCGCGCTGGCTGTTGCCGAAATTGCCTCCTACATTGAGACGGAGTCCAGTTCCGATTCTGTCATCTCTGTCAGCCCTGCCAGCCCTGCAGCGGATGGGGCCTCGTGGTGGGGCCCCTGCCCACTCCTCAGTGTGGGCGCCCTCCCACCGTGTCACCTCCAGATTCCTGTTTGCTCAGTGATTCCATAATTGGTCATGTACCTCCCGTTATCCCCAAATCCATGTGATCTGCTCTGAGGAGCAAGGCCTCGTCCCCCTTCTTTGGCTTCAAGACCCGTGCAAACCCGTGACCCTCGCGATCCCCACTTCCAATCCATTTGATTGCCCTGCCTGAGAACATGTCGGCTGCTCCATTGCGATACGTGTGAGAAAATAGACTGGAAGTGCCTCAGGGGCAAGAGATATTTCCCAGGATAAGGGGATAGAGGGGGGTTGTTGTGGGGGGCCCCTCTAGGGAGCCTTCCACCCTTTCCACCTGCATCCGTGCCCTGCGCCGCACCTACGCCGCCTGGCACCATGCCTGAAACCCAAGCCCCTCACCGTATTTGGGGTCTTGTTCTGTAACATTCCTACTTTAGGTCATATACAGCAGTCCACGTTGTAGGGTCTAACCCGCCGCCACAACAACCCCTGATCCCACACAACACAGAGACTTGCCATTGTCAAAGCCCGCAGTTCACATAGCACTGGATGCCATTGTGAGTTGGTACAAGGATGGCAGTTACGACTGAGTGCCGTTGGGGAGATACGCTGAACTCGTGTGGAGCTCCCACCGCACCTGCATATTATAATCTGGGTTGCTCTAAACCTGTGGAGCCACAGGGAGGCAGCAGCCTGTGCTACCCATAACCCTTTCAGATACATTCCCTTACCAGAGGTTGCAAGACCACATGTCTGCCGAGGAAGCAGCCCAGGAGGAGATATTGTACTGTTGACAAGTGAACGGTTCCAAATTCCTGGCAATACTGACGCAAAGGTGAAGCTGGTGCTCCTGATATGGGATGAGACCACTTTAGCTGCTGTAGTGAGGTCAGCAGAGCGAGCAGTCTGCATTGTTAGATTGAAGCTGTGCTCCCTCACCAATACAGCCAAGTGCTGCAGTAACACACCAGAATTCTTCGATCCGTGTCTTGATGAAGACATGTCTGAAGCTGACTTCCCTCCAGCACACCATGAGATCATGGCGTCCACTTCTTCAGACACAATGTCTGGCGATGTAGAGGTTCTCGCAGAACCGTCTGTGTGATAGTCGCTGGAAAGGCCTGCACAGGGTTTAGGTAGTTGGACAAAGGCACCAGTAATCCTGCCACCATCACTTGCGGGTGCCCAGCAGTCAGCCTGCATGAAGCACGCTCGACAGAAGGGGGCGGGGTGTGTGTGTGGGGGAAAGGCACAGCTTGCCACCTGCACACAGCAAAATCTAACTGTGACCAAATGCGTAATGGTTATACAGCCATGTGGGTGCCTGTGAATGAAGTTTACCGCCCCGTTCAACACCAATTTGGAGGCCCGAGCCAGTGAACGCCGTACAAACGTTGCCCTTGGGATCCAAACATTTTTCGCGTTGTGCTCGCCCCGAGGGGCAGGGTGCAGTTTGATCGATACGCCCCTCCTAACCCTCCTATTGCGGCACGAATAGGGTTCAGTAGTGCGTCTCGAGAATATACAGAAGATTTGACGGGCCAAAAGCTAGCATTCGCGAAGCTTCAGTTTGGAACGCTTGTAAAACGTTGGATAACCTTGGCAGATGTATGCACCTTGTGCAACGGGAGCTCGCCCGTCATGCACAGCACGCTTCCCTCGGTCCACCCTCCACGATAGGCCATGGTCTGTTCCAGAGTCCACTCCAACCCTATGTCTTGATCTCTTGCTTGCCTTCCCACAGCACCATTCTCCATGTGATGTGACCTGCTCGCGTGCCAAGCTTGGACCGAAGGACGCCTGCTCCCCTGGCGATAAATACCCACCGACCTGCGTTGTAACGGCCTTACTCTCGACAGTCTGTAGGTTGCGTTGCACATTGACAGAGTGAAGACGTTTGCACGTTGAGACCGGAGGGCAGAGTGCCCCTGTGATCGCTACCTCTCCCGGTCCCAGGGCGACCCTTGGTAAACCGACGCCCCGCGTCTACACCCTCGTACTGCCTCGCCGCGCCCACCACCCCACTTCGACGCAATGCCGTCCCACTGTAATGCCTTGGCGAGTCCAGGCGAACGCTGGGAAGTCGTAATGTAGGACTACCGCGGAGTTGGGCTGTCGTCTATTTGGTGGCTGCTGCGGTGTTCCGGCCGCGTCGACATCTTCAGGGTGTGCGCTACCCGTCGCCTTGGGAACATAATTTCCCTCGTCAAAGACCATCCACGACCTTTTCACTCCATCCG